AATTTGTTGAGTATCTCCTTAAGAAAAACATTGAAATATGTTCAGTTCCATCATAATTTTTTAAATTATTGGACAAGTTTAATCCTATCCTAGAACAACATCACCTTGGCAGGTTCTTCGCGTAAATCAAAGACGGGAATTATATTTGGGATTGTTGGCGCACTTCTAGGTTCTTCTTCTTGGAGGCTTGTTCTTACTCTGGTGGAAGGCTAAGCATAAAGGCTACAAGCGTGAAGTTTTCGTAGATGTTGCAGGTTTGTGTTGCTTGTAGTTTTTATCAAACTGTTGAATTCCAGCACTGCCGAATATGCTAAACATTTATCATTTGCTTAATGTTTTGGGGCCTGCTGAATAAGGAGACATGCAGTTTTGCAGGTGTATATCTGCTCAGTGCATTTCAAGTACTTGATTTATATTGCATTTCATTTCCTTTCCTACCTACAGTTACATAGTAATTGTTAAAGAATACACTATATTTTGAAATTTTGCTCTTGTTGGCATAGGAAAAGAGGGCATGCCGAGCATCAATTCTCTCTGTGTTAGGTCTCTCGCACCCAAATGGCGGCAAGTAGGGGTGGACTGGGTGCATGCCTAATCTAGGTGCATTCAGTGGCAGCCCTTTGAATCCCTTTGTCATGCTTTACATATTTTTTTCCCATCACGTGCATCAGAAGCAACTTCTTGGTTTGCCATTGTGAAGGAGGTGTTGCACCGCTCAGCAAGCCAGCTTTTGAAACCTTGACAAGTATAGTTGTCACAGTTCTGCACTAGCTTGATGAGACTTCGTTTTTGTCACAAAGTGGTCACCAAGCAACTCAGTCTAGGCCGAGTTCACATCTATAAACAAGAAATGTTTATGTAAGCAACATAGTCAATATGCATTGGTTTAAGTTCAAGATTAAGAACAATGGAGTAGAATGTCAATGTCAATTTTAGGATGCCAAAGGGGTGAATTTAAAACCAATTGTCAATTATTAACAATTGGTGAATAGGACATAAGTTTTAAGTCACCTTACCTTTTTCCAAAGATTTTTGACTGAAAAAACCTATTTGAAAACTAATTTGGGGATAGCTGTACTCTAATCCGAAGGGGTTTGGTTTCTCAGTGTACCCCATGAATGTTGCGAAAGGGATAAACTGAAAAACTGAACCGGGTTCAATGGGTTGGCTTGGATCAGTTTTGGTGGTATTTGGTTCATTCTGATTTGAAAATTCAAATCTGGTCTTCTACAGTAAATTCTATAGTTAAAATGGTGATATATTTTACATTGAAATTAATGTTGGCAGTCATTGAAATTAACAATCCTCTCTAATCTTTAGACTCCAGATTTTCATGGTCAAGCCCTTTAGGCAGGCCTTGAAAGTGAGCTAAGCCGAGTTGAGGATTTTTCAATTCCAAGGGCTCAAACTTGTGGAAGTCTGCCTAGTTATTTTATCTAAGTAACCTGCGCTTCAATGAGCCAAATGGTTTTGTTTGGTAGGATTTGGTTCTGTTTTTGACCTTTTTCACTTTGGAATGGGATTTTAGAGAACTGACCTCTTTCAGTACATTGGGTTTGGAATGAATATGAACCGAGCCAGCCCATCCAATTTGATCCCCTAATCTGTCAGCATCAACATAGAAGGAAAATAATAGAAACCCATCAACAGATGTTCCCTTTGGTAGATTAATATTCCTGACTGAAAATGTAGTTTGATTAAGAAAGTTTACTGGTGTGATTTGCATCTGCAGAAAAATTCTCAACCATTTTATGTTGGCCAAAGTAATCTAAAACTCAAAGATGATGTCATTGATTTGGTTCGTGATACATTCTCTGGATGTTGTCTAGTTAAAATGGAGTTGTGGTCATCTTTTATGTTTCCACCAAGATTCACTTCGGAGCAAGATTCTTTGTGGTGCTCGGTGATTAAGGGTGTCTAATGGGTAGGAGTCCAATGTAGTGCGACAGGGATCCTCCCGTTTCTGTTGGAAACATATGTCCCATGGTTTGTCCTATTTTTCCATCTTTCTTCGATTGATGGTGGAAAATGGGAAATAATTCGCTTTTGGGAAGACATATGATGGGAGAGGTTCGTTTTTCATCTTTGTTCCATCGCATTCATCATTTGTGTTAGGTCTCATAATTTGTGTGGCTTGCATGGTTGAATCTTCTTCCTTCCACTCGAATTGGAATTTCAAAATTTTTAGACATTTGAATGGTTGGTTACTAGTGGCATCGTGTTCGTTAATGTCTGTTATTGATTTGCAGTTTCTTGATTTGTTATCTCATGATAAAAGATGTTGGGCTCTTGGCTCGTCTGGACTGTTTTTTGTGTCAATCATTTTTTCAGATGCTCATTGGTTAGCCATCTTCACCTATTTTTTAACCTTCTATTAGAATTTGAAAGGTTGAAGTGCCATAGAAGGTTATAGGGCGAGATAAATTACTGTTAAAACAATGGTTGAACACTGTGGTTATCAAAAACATGGCCCTCCTATGCCACAACACGGTACTCTCAATGCCTACTCCACACGAGACCCGCATCTGTGACGACTAGTTCGATCGCTTCTCTATCCTTCCTCTCTGTATATATCTGCATGTGGTTGCATATAATTTTGAGAAATTGGTTTGAAAATATAATTATTTTGTTCCAACAAGATATAAAAAAGGCAATGATAAAAAGGCTGGGACGGTGCGTGAGACTGTTGCCACTGTAGGGTCTGGGAAGGGTGAGATGTATTCAGCCTTAACTCCTCATGCATGCAGAGATATCATTGCAAGTTACTATTTTTTTGTTGTTTGTCTGAGTGTGTGTTAATCTCTGTCCTCTCTTTTTGACATGAATAATACTACTTCTTGGTAGAATGTAGTGGAAGTTTTGAATTAAGAATAACTTTGGTTCCTTTGGGACTATGCTGATGGATACTTTTCTTTTCTCTTTTGAGCTCAGGGGAAGTTGACAGACGAATTGCATTTGGTCAGTTGAAAAGATTTGCATGGAGGGAATTACAACTAGCTACAGAGAACTTCAGTGAGAAAAATGTCCTTGGACAGGGAGGTTTTGGAAAGGTTTATAAAGGAGTGCTTGCAGACAACACAAAAGTTGCCGTGAAACGGTTGACTGATTATGAGAGTCCTGGTGGGGATGCAGCATTCCAGCGTGAAGTTGAGATGATAAGCGTGGCTGTTCACAGGAACCTCTTACGACTGATCGGCTTTTGCACCACACCAACAGAACGCCTTCTGGTGTATCCCTTTATGCAGAACTTAAGTGTTGCTTATTGTCTAAGAGGTATTAGTTCTTTACTATTTTTGGGAGAGTTAGTTGTTTAGCACTCACATGTGAATATGAGTTACTAATGGCTTTCCTTCACTTCACTTCCATTACATAATCTTCCCTAGTTCATGTTCTATTCTTTTAAATGCCTTCTATTGTGCATATACTCATGCACACGTTGACACCTACACAATCATTTTATATAAATGTGTATGTGTTACAACCCTTATTGCGAAGGTTTATCTATCTGGAATGACCAATTTTTCTCATAAAACTTCACAGACCTAATGGTGGATCATTTGGGCCTTTCTCAACTTAGACTTTCAAAGCAAATGCACAAGTGGCTCAACCATAGTCTCTGTTAAGTTTAGAGAGTTAACACAATATTAGAGAAAGACGGAGAGTGGTCGAAAACTTGATTTACATCTCACAAATCACTTGTATTTATATTTAACTTGTAACCATACAAAAGACGTGTATACCCTCTAGTGGTATACTTATTACAACTAACTAATATTTACATAATACTCTAATACTCCCTCTTAAGCTGGATTATATATATTAGATAATCTAAGCTTGGAACAAATGGTTGTAAGACATATACGACTTAATGTTTTGGTAAACATATTCGCAAGTTAATCCTCAGATCTCACAAATAGAGTCGTAATATCTCCAGCTACTATCTTGTCTCGAATAAAATGACAATCAATCTCAATATGTTTGGTTCTCTCAAGAAATACTGGATTAGCAGCAATATGAGTAAATGTCTGATTGTCACAGAATAACTGTAAAGGATGTTGAACTGGAAAGTCAATTTTCTGGAGAAAGTGTAGTAGCTATGTCAATTCACTGGTTGTATGTGTCATTGCTCTATGCTCAGCCTCCGCATTGAACCTTGGTACCACAGTTTGTTTCTTAGTCTTCCATGAGACAATGTTATCTGCTAAAAAAGTACAATAACCAGTGGTTGACTTTCGATCAGAAGGAGAGTTTGCCCGATCAGCATTTGAAAAACTTTATACTCTAAGATGACCATTAGCTCGATATAACAGCCCAAGACCAGGAGCACGTCTGAGATATCGCAGAATATGAGTAATTGCCTCTTAATGTGGTACTTTAGGACAACCCATAAACTGACTTACAATACTAACTGCATGAAAAATATCCGGTTGGATGATAGTGACATGATTGAGCTTCCCAACAAACCTGCGATACTGGTCCAGATTCTCAAACAGTACACCATAATCCATCAACAATTTTTAATTCGGATTTATAGGAACATCAATTAGTCTACCACCCAACAAACCTGTTTCCTCTAGCATATCAAGTATATACTTTCTTTGGGATAAACAAATACCCAGTTTAGATCTCGCAACCTTAATACCCAATCAATATCTGAGTTTTTCAAGTCTTTAGTATGAAATCGGTCTTGTGGGATGGTTTTCAACTTGATAATTCCCTCAAAATCATTTTCAATAATCACAATATCATCTACATAAACCACCAACAGAACATATTTGACATTCGTCTGTCTATGAAACACAGAATGATCTGTCTGATATCGAAGAAGGTCAAATTCTAAAATTGCATCTGAAAACTTACCTAACCATGCTCTCGGTGACTGCTTTAAACCATATAGAGATTTCTTTAATCAACATACATGCTTACAGTCATGGTTTTGAAAATTGGCCGTTACGGTGCGTAACGGTAACGAAGGCCACCGATTCCGTTACACCCCCAATTTTCGGTAAGAATGAATTTCACATCTGTAATGGCCTGTAACAGAGCATAACGACTTGTAACGGCCGATAAGCGTCAAGTTGGACCGATACGGACTGTTGCAAATCAAGAAGCCATGTGAATAGCAAAGCACAAATCTTTTAGACTTTTCACCTCCGTTTTACCACAATAATCAGATTTAACACCTACCGGATGAGTCTCACTTCACCGATGACAATGGCAATGTCCTTCAAGGTTTCGAGGTCCATCTAGGCTTCGCCGGAGTCGATGAATATTATGATTTACAGGGCCTGTCACCGGACTGATATTGGGACTTACACTGTTAATGGAGTTGCCATGGGAGAATGAAATTGCAAAAGTTTTGAGGAGATAGAGGAGAAGAGAAAGAGGTGGAAATTTGAAATGAAGTAAACAGAGAGAAGGAGTTGGGAAAGCTGGGCGCCTGGGCAGAGAAGACGAAGCAACTGGGTATGGGTTCTCTGTTTTTTTTTCTCTGTCAAACCATTGAAGATGCTACATTACTATTTTATTCAAGCCCATCATTAATGGGCTAGCTTTCTTTTGAGTAAATGGGCTAACAATATTCTTACTTTCTTCAAATTTTTATTTAACACAGCCCACAGTATAAATATTAGCGACTTTGATCATTTTTGAAAGATTATATAATGATACCATCAATACAAACATGTCTATATGATTTTAGTGATTATTAAATATTCATATTGACTTGATTTTAGAGTAGAAACTCGCAAAAATATATTTTTAGGTGAGGTGTGAGTTGAAAAAAAAAATTCACATATTTGATTTTCGTTATTGTTACGTAACGCCGATATGATCCGTGTCCGTTACGACGTTACCGTTACCGTTACGGCGACCGTTACTGTTATTCAGAACCATGCTTACAGTACTCCCCTTAAGCAGTAAACTCAGGTGGCTGCTTTATGTAGATCTTTTCAACCAAGTCACCATGCACAAAGGCATTCTTAACATATAGCTGAAACAAGAGCCAATCAAAATTAGTAGCCAAAGAAATCAACATACGAACATAAGAGATTTTGGCAACGGGAGAGAAAGTCTCTTCATAATCAACCCCATAGGTCTGAGTAAAGTTCTTGGCAACAAGGCGGGCTTTGAGACGCTCCACAGAACCATTCGGATTAAACTTAATAATATACACCCAATGTCATTCCATAGTCCGTTTATCCCTTTATGCAGAACTTAAGTGTTGCTTATTGTCTAAGAGGTATTAGTTCTTTACTATTTTTGGGAGAGTTAGTTCTTTAGCTCTCACATGTGAATATGAGTTACTAACGGCTTTCCTTCACTTCACTTCCATTACATAATCTTCCCTGGTTCCTGTCTATTCTTTTAAATGCTTCTCTATATGTGCATATGCACATGTACACTGTGACATGTACACAATCATTTTATATAAATGTGCATGTGTTACACTCCTTATTGTGAAGGTTTATCTATCAGGAATGACCAATTTTTCTCATAAAACTTCACAGACCTAATGGTGGATCATTTGGGCCTTTCTCAACTTAGACTTTCAAAGCAAATGCACAAGTGCTCAACCATAGCCCAATAGAAAGTCAAGAAGAAGCTTTAATAACAGCAACAATATTAATTCACTCTCTGGATTCACAGTAATAACTTAATCGACTATGGCATTTGTCAAATTAAAAGTCAAATTGACGGTCCTTTCTTCTAAAAGTTAGTGATTTTATTCACACACTCAGTACTATATTTATACCAGGGTGAGATCTTTCTTTATTTGCTATGCCAAATCAATTTGCCCAATTTTCTGCTGCTTTTCTGTTTACTCTTTATTGGATATACGACTTTAAACAAAAAGAAAGAGTGAGAAGAACATTAATGCATAGGTAAGATTAGTAGGTAATGCATGTTAGAACCAATAAATACGTATATGGTGATAAGAACACCCTTAAAATATGCCAATCAAGCATGTAAAATCTGTGCAAGTTATGATGATGGAAAGGCATAATTCCCTTTTGAACTAGTGCATGATTTCTTAGACCTGAGGTCAGGAAAAACCTTGGTGCCAGTGTGGGCGGAGTGTATTTTAAGTCTACCTTGGGGTTGATTGTGTTACTTATCCAAGTAGCAAAAGAGTATTTCAAATCGGTTGTGCTAGTCTTTCTATAATATACTAAAGCAAAAGGTTGAAATATATTGATTGAAGAGTATTGAAAGATTTCATATCATTCTCACCATCATCTAAGTGCTCTTGTCCAGATCTTGTTAACTCATCCTGGACTTGTAAATGCTATAGAGCCAAACATGTTCACAAAAATCGTACTGAGTTGTGGGGTCATGGACTCCGCCCATTGTCTTAATAGGTTCAGGATTTGTTCAATTTACATACTTTTCATGTGTGAATCATGCTATGTTTATTTTCAGTTGCTTTACTTGTAATCATTGACTGGTTTTTCACATTTATGCAGAATTTAAACCAGGGGAGGCTGTTTTAGACTGGCCTACAAGAAAACGAGTGGCTTTAGGCACAGCACGTGGTCTAGAGTATCTTCATGAACATTGTAATCCCAAAATCATCCATCGAGATGTTAAGGCTGCTAATGTGTTGCTGGATGAAGATTTCGAAGCTGTTGTTGGTGACTTTGGCTTGGCAAAATTGGTTGATGTGAGAAAGACTAACGTTACGACTCAAGTTCGTGGAACCATGGGTCACATAGCTCCAGAGTACTTGTCAACTGGGAAGTCATCAGAAAGGACAGATGTTTTTGGATATGGAATTATGCTTCTAGAGCTTGTAACAGGCCAACGAGCCATAGACTTTTCACGCCTGGAAGAAGAAGATGATGTCTTATTACTTGATCATGTAAGATGACCTTGATATGTACTGTGACTACTGTCTTTCTTTATGCGTACCTTCTCTCCCTCTCCCTCTCCCCCTCTCTCTCTCTCTCTCTAAACATGTACATGCAACCCCCCCAACCCCAAAAAAAAAAAAAAAAAAAAAAACACACAAATAAAGAGACATTTGTGCCTGTATCAGCATGCGTGTGTGCATGTGTAAACGTTGCAGAGTCGGAGTCACAACTGCAGTGTCTCCTCTACTCTGAAAGGTACGAAACTTTTTAACTTTGGCGGTGAAGTGGGCCTCTAGTGATTTATACATTAACTACTACCGGAGTGCATTGATATATTGGTGAAAGCATATGTCAATTTTCGTATGCTTTCCTGAAACGGCCTGTCTATAAATTCTACGATATGCAGTGCATCAAATGCTCTCTGGCTCTTATTTCACCTTTTACAGCATTGGCATTGAATATTGAGAATAGCCAGTCACTTGTTCTTGTCCTAATAGATGTCATGAATAACATATTCGATATCAGGCTTTGCATCATTCTAAATGTGCTTACAAATGAAATCATACATAGAGGGATTCAACTATGATGAGATGCCTTGTGTGGGTTTCTTGGATTGATCACTCTGGTGGAACATGATCCATGTAGGCGACTCCAAATAGTTGAGATAAGGCTTTGTTGAGTTCAGACTTTTGTCTTTGATGCTGTATAAACTTGACACTATATTTTGTTTTTGTGTTTTTACCAAATTCCTTTTATATTTTTTTTTTGTACTTTTCTTATTTCTTGGTTATGTGCCCTTTGTCTGATATCGACACTTAATTATTCCACCTGTCTGCTTGAAGGTCAAGAAATTGCAAAGGGAGAAAAGACTAGATGCTATTGTAGACCGCAATCTGAATGACAATTTCAACATCGAAGAAGTTGAGATGATGATTCAGGTTGCATTGCTCTGCACCCAAGCATCACCAGAGGACCGACCAGCGATGTCAGACGTGGTCCGGATGCTAGAAGGAGAGGGTCTTTCTGAGAGGTGGGAAGAATGGCAGCATGTTGAAGTTACCCGTAGGCAAGAGTATGAGAGATTACAGAGAAGATTTGACTGGGGAGAAGATTCTATTTATAACCAGGTGGCTATTGAGTTGTCTGGTGGAAGATGAGGTAATAAAATGTCTCAACAAGTATGTAAATCCTGTAATACATTGGCCAAATCAATGATAGCATATCCTATAAGCATACTTTCATGTTGTATTGGATGCATTGCTGGGACCAGCTCTTCATCTTATTCTTGTTTTTCCCATATAATTTTTTTGTTAATTTTGGCATGCATTAGAAGACCCATAATCCATGATTGACATCTGCAACAGCTGCCACCAGTCTGTCACTGAGTAAAGTTTTTAACATCCAAGATAAACTTAGGATTTGACTTCTCCTTATGTGATCTTGTGAAGCTGCATCTGTTTCTTCATTCATTTGTAGATCCAAATTTATCTTATATGTCACAGATCCTCTATCATGCAATGAAGCCTTGAAAAAAATGAGACATCTCACTTTAACTTGTTGCACCCTCAATTGATTTGTTGTGAAATTTCAAGGGCTCAAACGTTGATTGAGACTAATTTTTAGGGTTTTTTTCCTTTCCGATTCTTTTGGTAGTTACAGATCTTCGAAAAAGTTTTCTAGCTGTTGATAATTTACATCCAATCACATTTTACATGACTAACTTTTTTTTTTGACTTCCAGCTTTATGGATGTTATTTGGTACTGACTGATTACATTGCCTAGACACCGTATGCAATGATACAAAGCCTTGAAAGGGTTGCCTTTCAAATTGAAGAGTTTCCTGACCCTTCTTACCATGTTTTCAAGGAGCAAGGTGGACGTTTAAGGGTTCTATGGCTTGCTTGTATGACTGACTATGGCAGCTGTTCTAGGAGAAGCAATGTCTTCAGCCCAAACAATCATATCTGCCTTTGAGACCTGTTCTTCAATCATCAGATTGGTTATTTCCTTTCTTTCTGTCATTTTGATCGGCCAGTAGGTATTCTGGTGTCATCTCCAAGTCTGTATGCTCCATGTCTTCAAAGTTGATGCTGCATTTCGTACAGTCGGCACCAGCCATTGCAAGAGCGTCAATTGACATCTCTCTCTCTCTCTCTCTCTCTCTCAATCTCAGATGGATGTTTCAGGATATTTTACCAACATCAACTATTTATATTGTGTGGTTTCTGTGCAAGATTTTCTGTTCTTAATGGCAAAATACAGGTGTTACATGTAAAGATTCTATAACTTCCATGACCTGTGTTAGGTGTATACACTTACAAAAGTACATGAACAAATCCATAAATCGAGGGGCTTTATGTCTCTCTCTCCACCCTTTAACCAATTAATGATATTGTTGAGGCCAAAGGGTACTTGAGCTGATTGTCATTGCTTAGGGTGTGCGTCACCATACCTCTTGTTTGTTTTACACATTTAGTTGGTGGATGAAATTGGTAATAGGTGAAATTGCTCTCATGCTATGATATTTTAGCCATTGGAGATTTTTTGAGCAGTATTGTTACCACAGTCCAAGTACAGCTACAGCACATTAGCTTTGGCTATCACAAGTTAGAATATTGGTTATTCAGGTCGATAGTGCTAAAGTTTAGGTATGTATCCAGTGTAGTTACTCGTGTATGCTCTATTTTGCAGGAACCAACATTGGATAATTGCTGGTTAGTATTTGATTTTTTGGCTTGAATTGATTGTTGTCAGTTGTCTATCAAAGGTGCATTTGATTGGAACTGGTTGAATAATTAGGGGGTTCATGATCATATACAGTATTGGATGCACATATATATGCATAAACTGATTGAGGACGTTCATGTGATTTTTTGCTTTTCTGGGTGTACCTTCTTGTTGAGATACATGTGATATGTGGATATTCGATATGGAGGGGTAGGTGCAGATGCATTGCAGCCAGAGGGAACCTGTTAAGAATGTCATTAGCACTCTATGCGTCATGCAGTGAAGATTACTGAAGTTTTTTGTTGAGTATGCTTGGGTTTTGTAAGTGGGTGATGGTTGGTTTTCATTTGTCCAAGAGATATGTTGTGGGTGGGACATTGGGATTAGACTCTTCAAAATGAGGATGAGGTGGGAATGTCTATTCTGTCCTTTCTTTTAGCAACTTTAATTGTAGGTTTTTAATGTAATTATCCTTGACGACTTTACAATTTCAGGAAAAGGAATGCATTTTTATGATATGCATGCATTGAATTTGAAATTTTATAGGCAATATTATGTTAAGCATAATATTATGGAGGGCTGGTGAAAGCTTTAGCACAATATTATGCTAAGCAATTCAACCAGTTATAACCAATACAGAATGGAGATATTGCTTTTTTTGAACTTCCTATTGTTTTCTTCAGGTAAATCCTTATTGGTTTTATTGCAGCTACGTTGTTTTTTCAGACTGAAGACGTTGAGCTTTGACCAACTGTTTCTCCCTATAGGGAAGGGAGGGCAGGGTTTGAGCCCCACTACTGTTGGGCTCATCAGCCTATTGGGTAGGGGTTTTAGTCAAGTTGAGCCTGTTGGGTTCAAGTACACCTTAACTTGGTTATGATTGATCCAGTTCAAGCTTGAGTTGATCTTAAATTTTTGTTCAAACGTGGCTTGAGCATTTCTAGCTAAAATCATGCTTAATTTCAAGCTTAATATTTTAATATTTTTTTTATAAATTAAACCGTAAAAAATAGTCATCAATCCTAAATTATCAATTTCTCAAGAATTATATTAAAATTAGAATTATTTATCGAGAGGGATATATTTGAGCTGAGTCGAATTACACATTATTTGGATTAACAATTTATTTAAATTCAATTTATTCTACAATTTGAATGAGCCCAATGAATTAACAACGCGGAATAGAGTCAAGCTCGAGTTGCTAAGATCATTTAATAAGAAGGGATTGGACAGTCTATCTCAATTCAAATCAACCAACAACAAGGGTTTGGACTAGCTAATCAATTCAACAAAATTTTTATTCTAATTTTTTTATGGCCCATTGTATGAATCCTAGTCCTCTATTGTACTCTATCAAGAGCAACATTGACAAATTATCTAACCAAAGAAGTCAAAGGCTGAAGTAATTCACATGGTTACGAACCTTTTAGGCTTAAAAATTAAAAAATCTCTCGACTTTTCAAAGAAAGCTAGCTAAGTTATCAGTTATACATAGTATTATTAATGGATTGAGTTTTTATCCGAATTTGATCGTAATTCAATTCAGATTATGGAGCTTCCGGGTAATTCACATGGTGCTATTTGCTCATCGCTTGTATCTTTTTTGGGAAAATTGTGAAAAGGTACATTTTATTTTATTTATTTGTGTAAAAGTACCTCAATATAAAATATTTGTGTATAAGTACCTTTATGTGTAAATATTTGGTGAAGAGGTACACTTTTGCTGAGTTGTAATTTTTTCTCTTACGAAATTACCCTTTTCCTTTATTAGTGGGAGACAAATATGACAATTATGTTAGGGATTTAGTTTTCTAAATTTATGGAATATCGTTTATGAATTTTAAATTATATCTTTCTCTTTCATTCAACTTAAGTTATTCAAACTTTCATTTTTATTCAAACATTCATATCTTTTCCATATTTGTATAATTTTTTTTTTATTAATCTTCATAATTAAGATGATGATTCTGATTCGGAGGATGATTTGTTGTCTCGCACGATAATGTTACAGTGTTACAAAACAATGTCACACTAGTACTAGAAAATGTTACACTGCTACAAATCAAATTCACACTGCTACAATGTAGTTTATATGTTTTTTTTTAAAAAAAAATTATTACGGTCTCTTAATGTCAATAACGTTCATATGAGGATAAATGTCAATGATGATGACTCCAATGAGGATGATCGTAATAATCAAGATGATGATTCTGATTCGGAGGATGATTTGCTGCTTCGCATGATAATGTCACAGTGCTACAAGACAATATTACAATGGTACTAAAAAATGTCATAGTGTTACACATCAAATTCACACTGCTAGAAACTAATGTCACATTATTGCAAGTCAATGTTACACTGCATAAATTGACACGACGCATATTACAATGTATATAGTCTCTTTGGTTTTTTTTTTGGCAAATGATCGAACACTTAGTGTGCATATAGTACTAAGCATTAGAAGTCGAAAGGTAATTGAGGAAAAAAAAATAAATAAAATAAAAACGTTGGGAGAAATAACATTTTTCTTGAGTTATCAACTTCTCTTCCAAAAAATTCAACCACTCTCATCCTTTTGCTACAGGCACTCCCATTCAAACCCTTATCTAAATTGTTCTCACCCAGATGGACCCTTTACTGAAACCACTTTGCCCTTTAATGTAACCAAAATATGTTAATGAATTGGATTCCAATCCATATCCAAGATCGTGTGATTGAGTTGGTTCTTCGTTACTAAAAAAATTTATAACTACTCCCATCCTTCTACTACAAAGGTGAAGATTTGAATAATGAAGTTTTGAAAATATCCTTTCTTCAGCAACGATTAATAGAAAGTTTTGAACATCCAAAAAAAGATTTTATAGAAGTTTTTGAAAGAATGGAGTTTCCGGCAATATTGAAAGAATTTATGTGTAAATGTTGAGATCTCTTAAGTTTCGATTGTGGAAGCAAAAATATAAGAATCGGTTTTCATTCTATTGAAAAGAGTATTTTAGAGATTTGTTAGGGGTTGTGTACTTCTTAACTTATATTTTAAAAGTAGTACTTTTTGCTCTATAATTTCTAAAAAGGGTACCGGCCCCCTTAAATTTTTTTTTTAATTATTTTAGTTGGGTAAATTACACTTACCCCCCTAAACTATCACCCTTTTTTTAACTTTGTCGCCTCAACTGCTAAATTTCTCATATTGCACCTTAACTAACACTTTTATTTTACATTACCCCAATCACAAACGTTTGTTATTTTTTTGGACAAAAATCACCAATGTATTGGGATAAAGTTAAAAAAGTTATATAGTTTTATGGACAAAATGAAATAAATTTTCATTAAATATATAATAGATGATAATATGTAAGGCAATGTGAAACTAATAACATAGTTGAGATATTGTGAAAAATTTGATAGTGGAGGGGACAAAGTGAAAACAGGA